TACTAACTCCACTCTATTTACTTAATGCTAAGGCGTAGAAGTAGTTTGGTTCACTTAGTTTCAGGGTTTTCTTCGTTCCGCGCCTGTTTTCCTATTAATAAAATTAACCAGATTAGTTAGTCTTATAACTGGCTAACGTAAGCTATAATATACACCAGCAGGTATTTCACATCAATAAATTTCATCTACATTACCTCTAGTCTATAATTCAATTACAGACCTACAACATCCAGCTCCAGTTTTTCCGAAATCTTGCAGTATCAGTTGTGTTAACCTGTGGCAGTAACTCTATTCCTCTGGTCAACTAAATCTATTAGCGATATTTATTTTGTCGCAGTTACGCTGTTCCACGTAACTCGTCGTGGAATGTTCCAATACTCTTGCTGGCACGTTGCAGTTTTCTGCCTATTCTAGCATTTGATCTAGGCACGCGCAACCCATAACATTAATTAGTGCTCGATTGCAGTGCAGAACCTTTGTAGCCGTCCGGTTGTACCTCTCCTGAGACCCTGGAGTATTAATTCTGTTATCCTGTTGCATCATTTGGTCACAGAAAATTTTCTTGATTGAGTCTTATTCTGCGTCCAATAATCTGACGCAGTTATTCTATAACTCTCTTCCACAATTGGTTGCCGTGGTAGAATAAATGTTCCAGTAACCTCGTCATTTTATTTCGATAAGTCCCTTAACGCCCTGCATCTATTTTACTGCTTGAAGAAGCAGCTGAGCTAGACTTCAGGATTTTCAGTATAAATACATAAAAGTTTGTCCGTATAAAATTAACTCTGTACATTTACCTAGCGCAGACCATATGGTTTTTATAGGTATTTTAGTTCTCCTATTAATTGCAAAAAGAAAGGGGTAATAAAATTACAGCAACATAAGTAATAAGACTACTATAGCATCGTAATCTTATTACTTTTATTGTAATCTTTCCATTTATATAATTTCTCGATATTTTTCGAAAAACTTTTAGCCTTCCATTTTTCGACCTATTTTACGCCGACCTATTTTTAAAATATCAATTTTATGTATAAATGCATCTATCGTTCGCGTTATCGACTGACCGACTGGAGCCATGAGCAACTCTTTTTATGTACAATACTTTGTTTTCACCATCCAAATTGTATTTTCAACGCGAAAATTAAGATTTAGGTATTGAAAATATAATCACATTTAATTCGGCCCATCGAAAACTTTCCGTTGGTACCATAGAGTATCTCTTTACATACAGCTCCATGTGAAAAATTCTAACCTTATTTTCATTAACGCGAAACATTACGAAATTTATTTTTTTAGTTTATTACCATTTATTTTCGAGCCAAAATATCTATTTTAACTATAGGGGGATGTATTGCGTTTTCACTTAATCCGCCGAGATATACAGCAAAATGGTAGATTGCGTAGAAAGGATGTTTTCAATATTTTGATGTTCCTTTCTGAAAACCTTTTAGACAGTTTTTTCGGAAAAAAATTGTTCCCCAGAAGTATTTGCCATAGCAACCGATACGGCTTACCAATTGATAATTCTCAAGAATTTTCTCAAAAGAGCAGTCAAAAGTGGCTCGAGACGCATTTTCATTTTAGTGTCACGTGAGCGACACGTGAGGTTTTTGACGATTTTTACGACAAATTACCCATGTTAGGTACAGGAATATACACTGCATTTTGATTAAACTCAGTGAGAACCTTTGATCAGTATCACGGGAGACCCTCCCTCCTACTTAGACCTCCATTTAAACAACCGGCTACTATTTTGTCTCTACATTTTTCGATAAAAATCCAACCAAAATATAGCCGTCTGATGAACACACCGTCACAAACTCCTGTAAACAAGACAAAAAAATGCAGAAGCTGCAAAAAACAGTAACGTGCCCAAATTACGCTTCATATGATTAAAAAAAGCACCCAGTGAAAAAAGTATTGATTTAACCGATTTCATCTCTTGTTGCTGATTTCCTTTAGATAAAACTATAGCAACTCGTCCAAAATGACGATATTTTTGGTTTTACTTGTTCCTCTTGAAATGTCGCCAAAAATTATTGAACCATTGTCTTTGCGATTATCAACCTCATTGTGGAATTGTCTTTTTTAGTCATTTACAAGTAGTTTATAGATATTTCATTCTGTTTCACAATATTGTACCGAAATTCCTGTTAGTTTTCATTATCCTGGTATTGATATTCTGAGGCTGACAGATTGAAGTCTTCTAATTTCGTACTAGTCCCTTAAGTTGAAGGTATATAAAGGCTTTTTCATGACGCATGTCACCGATAGGAAGAATCATATTGTTTCAACAGTCGGTCCTTATGAGTATAATCCTGAGCCAACGCGTTATTTGGAGTGTTCCACATGCTTTAGAGCTTTGTGACTTCTCCCGTTATTAACACAGTCACAAAAAGATCTGGAATTTCCTGCGGCAGCTGGGTTTGCTCCGCATCCTCCATAAGCTTCTGTCACTAGCTCGTTTTGTGCATACAAACTCCTTAAACTTTAGTGAGAGAAACTATTTCATGCGTTTTCAACGAATAAAAAATGTAGGTCGTCCAATATGATAAAGTAGAAGTCTCAAGTAGTAGATTTTCCCCAACGTGGATTTGCCGCGTAGATAAGTGAGAGTAAATTGTTTTTATGGTGAATGGGGAAATCCGAAACTTCTAGGCCATTCTCCTTTTTTACTCCATTAGTATTGGCCCAGGCATATAATTTGGAAGCACTGACGGAAAGTAAAATTTTCACGGATTTGTCGCCGTTCCAAGAAGCCGCGAATGCCGCTAATTTTGCTTGTTCTGTGTTGTTTCGAATTAGCTATGTTGGTGTACTTTTTTGAAAAATGCTTCTCATTTCTTGTTGTTTGTAGCATCACTGAATCCCTGTATGTGTGATTGTTCATAGAGTGTTTCGTAGTGTTCGTAGAGATTTTGATTAAATGGTAAGTTTGCACATTTGATTTTCATAGTTACATCCACCAAGTATTGTTCAAACAGGTGATTTGCCCTGGATAGATGATTAAACCTTCAGAACACATGATTTAATCTGCGTAGTACCGCAGTGACATTGTTTTTGTTCTACGTGGTTCATAGTTCATAACGCCAATCAGTTTCGCTTAATAGAAATGGTGGTACGCACTGTAGGCAGTCATAGGATGGATATGATTTAGAAATCATCTAAGAATCGTTTGTTTACGCGTTGTGGGCATCTTATTCTATTTTACTACCGTAGGGTGATGTGCTTTGGTATTATTTGATCTTGTTAATTTCTGAATAGACGTTCCTACTTTATCCGCAGCTTGAGCACTGTTCTTTCGTACTCATCCGTTGATCGTCAATAATGAGCAATAAGAATATGCTTCTGTCATAAATTATTACCATATTCGTTGGCTGTTGTTAGGTCCTGAATGTAAAAATTGTCTCTTCGAAGTTTAAACGTGTGTAAAATTTTGTGCTATTTACACAATAATAATAATTGTAGAAGAGAGAGGGAAAGGTTTGTTAATACTTGGGCGAAGATAATTATCTTACGAGATATCTCTATTAAAGGATCCACTTAAAGATGAACTAAAATGACATCGCCTTTTTTTAATGTGCATGCAAGCAATTCATGGAGTATTTTAGCTGAATAAGTGGTCCGTATTGAACGGTAAATGAATGCCTGGCATATTTCAAATCTTTTTAAGCTTGTGATCTTATAATGTGATTATTATTTATACGAGTAATCATTCTTGTTGTATTGTACACTTACGTTAAAAATATTTCAGATACCTTTTTTAATCATGTAGTAAGAGTTGTTTTGCTTCAACATAATTTGAATATCCCTAAGATCCTAACAAAAGCAATACATCTAGAAAACCCGAATAATAACAATATTAGATAAACTTAGGTAAATATGTCGTGTTTATAATTAAGTACTCTGTCGACGAAATAAGTTGATATGTTGAGCAAATCAAAAAGACGATTTGACATTAGAGAGTAGAGGTTTCAAAGAATTAAAACAAAACGAAAAGTACAACAATTCAAAGCTAGCTCGCCAACAGATAATCCACTGGTTTACTGCTAAATTTTTTTAGACCTAAGAAAAATAACGATGAGCAATCAGTCTGCGTTTATATATACCAGTTTACTCACGGTTGCAAATTGCATAAAATTAACCACCTTGAATATGCGCTTAATGCCCTTTAGATGATATTGTAGAGCGTGATAGGTGTCTATATTGTTTGATACACAGTTCACCTTTAAGCTCGAAACAGAACTTCCTTGCTCAGAGGCCGTCATAAAATCTATGCCAAGCTGCCGCAAAATTCGATTGAATTATCCTCTCTATTTTACGAGTCATTGGAAAGCAGGCTTTATGGTAAAATTCTATAGATAAAAACAAGGTGCCTGTTCTAGCGGTTGTTCTTTTTATCTGTTTTATGTATTTTACAACCAACGTTTCTGTGACAACCGCCAATTGCCTCAGACAGAAAACTCGGATCTTTTTTTAATCGGTTATATTTGATAGTGCATTTACATATGTTCATGAGACCTCTCAAGCAGAGAGTTTCGAGATTACGCTAAAGCAATTATAGCAGTTAGCAATATGTGGCAAAATTATCCAGCTAGCAAAGTGTATTTTGCACTTAAACGTTGTCATTCCTGTGCATAACGCAAGTGTACTGTTTGGCCTTCGGAACACTGACAAAGTGATGATTAGCTTATTACAGTAAGTTAATAATATAACTAACAAATTCAGCTTGGCTGTCTTATAGGTCACCAAGATAATATGCCTTCATCGTCGCCTTGGTATTAGTATATAATGGCCAACGTTTAATCTATCTGTAAATTAATATAGGTGTGGGTGCATATTGAAAGTAAATATGTGCAATGTTATTTATTTAAAATCAGCCTTTCATAAGTACACATTACAATAAAGTGCCAACTATAGTCCGTACCTGGCGTCTTCTTTAGGGTAAGCATATTACATAAATGGCAAAAAATATAAAAATAGCTACCAATACGTACCACGTCAATGAGTTGAGACAGTTTTAGTCCCATTTTGACAGTGAGCCTGTCGGAGTTATTGCCTACAGGCCGAATAAGTCGGTTGTAAGAACTCATCAGGTCATCATACAGTCGTTTCGCATCAGGGTTGGCTACCGTGGTCCGAAAGAAAAAGCACAGTGTTGACAAAACGAGCAGCACGACGACGGAAAGTAACGAAACCTTTTGATGACGATAACACTTCTGTGATCGAAGTTCAAAAACCTTATTACGTCGAATCTTAGCTACTGCAACACAGTTAGCACTCAAACGCCGCCGTGTCTGCATGATTGAAGCCGCAGCCGATGCTAGTCACTGATTGTCGTGGTCTGATGTTGACCGATACCACGCTTTTAACTAACTACTCCTGTGCATCTAAAGATAGTCCCAATCGCTAAAAAGCGATAACACTCTATCGGAACATGCTAGCCGCTTATCGTCGCTCCATTGGAAATATGGCTTTCGATAAAACCAAACGTAGTTATTCTTTCTGTCCACGGCCCTCCTGGATATACGGCACGTTCGACTATTTCTGGAGTTATATTGGGGGATAAGGAGAACAAGGTCTCGTTTCCTAGTAACGGGAGGGCTTCGGTCCCTGGCTGAATAAGCATGACAACAGCGCCACCTGTGAAAGCATTCAGAACGACTGCCTCTGCTAAGAGAACTCTGTTTCAAATATTCGGCACAGGCAAAATCCGTTCCTAAGGTCGTCACTTTTATTTTTAAAATTTATTTAAAATGTGAAAGCCATTCTAATAAAACCGAACAAATTTGAAAGAAAACAGTCTGAAAAGGGATCACTGGAGGCTTACTATTGAAGCCGATGTAAAAGATAAGTAAATTAACTGTTATGTATATGACAAAAGTATCAGACATAAAAAATAACGATTATTAGAATGTATTTATCTTCTGAAAAAATTACTCCGCATATTTAGCCTTGTAATTTACCGTAGATTCTTGCGAAGCTGCTTATTATTAACTTTTTAACACAGTGAACTTTCATAGTCAAGCTTGCCCGGTTTACAACGGTGGTTTTCAGCTTCAATGGCAAATTTCATTTACTCAACCCTATTCGATCATGGGTCAGAAGGTACGGCAGTTCTTTAAACTACACTTTAATTATATAAAGAAAGTAAGTTACCTTGGAGTAATTAGTATGGTTGAGGGTCATGCGTTTATCCCACTTCAGACAATATTGCACCACTAGTAAGTAGCAAAGGCACTACTTATTGAATTTAAATAATATTATTATTTATTTTCAGTTACTAACCTTTTCAGAAGACTGATTTTACTAACTGAACGCCGATTTATTATTTAGCTGCACGAATGAAACGAGTGTAAACTTTCTATAAACGCATGGACAATGCTGTCTGTGCTAGTGTTGACATTTCTGGGAATTCGACCCGCACTTCATGATACTTGATGGAGCTCTTAATGTAGAGATTTGTTAAAATACTATACTATTGTTTTCCGCAAAAGGTAAAAAATGTGTACTACGATGGTTTAACGGCCAAGTACATCCCCGACTTCAATAAGCAGACTGAGTAAAATCTTTTCTGTGGATTACCTAATTAAGAATAATTTCCATATTATCGTAAAGCGTGGAATAGAATGATTTTAGCTACTGTTTAATAGTCTTTTCAATTTATTGAAAAATTCGAGTTATATAACTATATATATGGTGTTTGTTAAAATTTTAAACATTTATTATCAATAACAGAACAACGTCAGAGACATTATCGTTTATGTATTGAACATTATCATGCCGCTGAATGAAGGTATGAACATTGATGGAGCAACAGAAAATAACTTTCTTATACTATATATCATACTTTCTGTTTCTTAAAACACTTTTTAATGCACTTCTATGATTCATCGAGTTCCGGTTTATTTTAGAACTGCAACCCTGTGGTCTATACATACACTACACGTCAGATGTGACTGTATAAAGAAGCATATTAATTAAAGTGAGCATAGGTCTGATTGATATTCATGTAGAAACTTGATAGTCACGTTCATGCGGGAACTACATTTGTTTTCGACAAGTATATTTGCTTGTTTCAATTATTATCAGAAACCAATTCGAAGTGAAAAATTACGTCCAAATTACGCCAAAAGAAACGTAGGCAAACTAACTACACTTTGACATTTTTAATGTAATTGTCTGCAAAATCCTTCAACTAATACACTTGTGGCAGGTAATAAATAGGTACTCACGTACTTTCTCTACACCTGGCACTGATCCTACGTTAAAATCTATGACGGAATTTATCAAGTGTGGTAATGTTGTGTTCAAGTAAAGGTGTCATATATATCACCAGCTCATATGTTCAGAAACTACGAGGAAATGTAATATATAAGTTAGATTTCTTGACAACGAAGCAACCCAATGCAGCATCCAATATGAAGACTGCTACTTTCCCCACTTTGGCAACATATGAATCGAAATCTACAGGAGGAGTGACAGGAATTCCCAATACCTGAACTGAGTGAGCTCTGAAAATAGTGTGATCACTGCAATTAAATGCAGATGTATGTAATATCTGTGTGTTTTTATGATTCGTTTTTTTCGTTTAGCTTTACATTGTTCTATATACCATTTGAACGTGTTCTCTCGTTTTAAAAGTATATTTTCATTGTAGAGAACAAAATTTTATGTCGAGTTCAGGCTCTAAAGGTGGATGTTACAGGTGAAAAAAAATAGATTATCTACAATTTAATATGTTTTGCCTTTTGTCAATCTGCCGCTGTAGCACGGATTATTTTTGCCGTGTATGGAATGAACTCCATGGCTAAGGCTACTGATTGAAAGAGGTTTACAAAATTCAATAATACCATCTTGGAATTGAAGCAATGCACCTCGTTCCGACCATTATGCTATGTTAAAAATTGTTATTTGTTTTTGTTTGACTGCTTTTGCTGCCTATAAAAAATATATACAGTGTTTAATTAAAAGGCAGGGTACATAAATGAGTCATAGTTACCGATAACGAAGTGGTCTGTACCATTTAAAATTATGTATATGACCCTGGATAATCAATACTGAAACGGTACTATTGTAAAGGCTAAGAGATCTACAAACAATTATTTGCATATATATTTAAATGACAATAACTTTTAGTCTATTTACTTGAGAGTTATTCACCCGTGTACGTCTAGGATGACCCCACTACCAATTCAGTGAATCGCAAAGATGGCGGGTTCGGCTCACGTTTGATAACAAAATTCTAGATATTCCTATCTGTTTACTGGGTAGCCACTGAAAACAATAATCATTCGGCAACTAAAGACAACGGGCTTTTTCTGTCATTCGTTGCTCTAGTCAAATACTATATACACATTCAGTTAATGTCTAACTTAACTTGCACATGTCCGGCCTGTCTTCGCATACTAAGGATGTGCATCTAAGATATTCATCTAGTTCTTTTGACAAAGGAAACAGTATGCTTATTAAGCATAGCATTTTATTTCATAGGCTTAGAATACACTATTTTTTTTCTTGTACGGCCAAAATAAAGCAGAAGAGTGCAAGAAAATAATCTAATGACCTTAAAGACAGGTGGTGGAAGTAGCATAACATCTACAATTACACAATATATCGTACTTCATGCGCTCGATAATAATATTCTTCCGGAATGGAATTTGTAGCTAGAGCAGATTTTTTAGAGAAAAAATCTCAAGTGAATATATAATTCAATGAATAAAATTGGTTGTCTGCAAACCGCTACCAATGCCTAAGTAGTTAACCTATATCAGAAGTATGTTTGAGTTACAGTTTCCCTTAAAACTTCCTTGTTTTTACCTTGCTAGTTGAGTCCTCTATGGGTTATAGTATGTTTATTCAAGCTAACTAAGACTTTGTATGTCTTTATTTTGGACCTTTGTTTCATCGGCTACGTTGGCTGATCTACTTTAGCATTCCTACATTGTCTTTGCTTGGCTTTCTCACGGCTAAAAGGCTATGGAAAGCGACACGAAGGAGACTGTTTCATACGGAAATCTTGGTTCGTGTCATATTCATATTTACAATGATGAACTCCTTAGAACAAGGAAGCTTAAAACAAGGTTACCGTTAAATCATAGAATGCACTGATAGCCTTGCTAACCGATGGTTAGTAGGTGTCAAGCAATGTGTAACCGAGTTTGCGAACGGCAACGGATGCAGAGGGCCAACGAGAGCAGAGCCCCCTTGTGGCTTTATGAGGAAGCCCGGGAGCTGATGGAGTGGCGCCTGGCATGTGTGGACATAGGAGTGGTGCGCTGAGAGCATGCGCGGGATGGCGGGTGTGCTCATCCCAAGCCTCGCGCTTCTTCCTTGAGGGACTCGCTCCTCACGGTTCTCAGTCTTTCAATGGTGACTCCTCGTAGCCCTTTTTAACCCAAATCCACAAAGTGCTTGATATCTGGCATTGTGTTAAGTGTGGTGTCATTGTACGAGGAGACCGAACGCTGTCTAACATTGGTCTCCGTGATCTAAAGTGTCAAGTTAGGGGGGCCAGACAGACCGCAGCGGCAAAGTAAGCAGCCTAGCGAGTGCTACGGAGAAACTCAGGCCCAGGAAATGTAGTAGCGGTGAACACAGCAAGGTCCTGCTTTTGGCCGCGCCCCGGTCCTTACTCTGCGTCTGTCGCACCAGGCGAAAAATATCGGAGCGCTTAGTTGTCTAAGATGTAAGGTGCCTGAGCGCTGCTCTTTGTCGCTCTACGTACGTCAGATGCATTGAAAAACCGTGCATTGTGCATTATCAACGTATTGTCTTAAAGTAAGACCGTCCGTTACTGATAGTGCCCCACACCGCACTCTTTGATATACAATTTAAGGGCATCTGTCGTTTAAACACTCATGTAGGTTTAGAAAATCAATAATGTTGGAAAAATGGCACGATCTTTCATAAGCACTGACTTAGTTGGTTCAATTCTGGCATGTGGAAACGATCCAGAACGGGCGGGGTGTGCGCCCAGTGCACCCAGCTCGGGGACTGCCGTGGTGGTGGAAAACACAACCTGGACCGGGTTATCGGACATTGCCTGAACTCACTAGGAAGTGAGCATACACCAGAAGAAAACACCCAATATTAAAAATTTCGGAACAACCTAGTGAAAAAGCGTGTACTATCCTTTTTGATCTTTAATGGAAATGCCGCATGGCCATAGATGACTTTCATCGTTCATGGATTCTACTTCCCTTAGTAATTGTTTAGGAGTGCTAGATCGAACTCGAATCAACAGCGAATTTTAGGTGAAAAACCACGGGCGCGCCACTATTCTAGAGTATGAAGTTATGCATAATGTGGCATAAAACTCTTCCGATATTGGTGTGAAAACTTATACAGAGAAAGAACAACGTGTTATACTTGAGATATTGTCATAAGCAAATGGTATCCGCAAACCGGTAGCCCAGATATAGAACTTGTGAAGCAAAAAACAGTGATGGATACAGTGAAAAGATCCATTTAATAAACGCGGTGGGATAATAATAATAATGCGTTTGGCGTGGAATATGTTTGTGACAAGCGCGGCTAGGCAAGCCATTAAGCAGCACTCGCGTTCGATTAGAGGTACTTCTACTGTACTGAAATTGGCTGCTCCAATTCGCACTGCTGTTTATATTGTAACTACTGATTTGCGCTTCGGTTTGAGGTTCATCCTGATCGCAAATGGTAGTACGTTTCGTCGTGTACCCGTGCTTCATACTTGTGAGCTGCAAGGCTGCCCTTTTGTCCGACTCTACGCGTTCAGTGAACGCCTGAGCCAGATTCACCCACAACAGGCCAGCGCGTTCCGCCGGCACGAGCAAATCGGCGTGTTGTTTTTCTGCTAGGAATAAATCGCCCAACTTTATCCAATCGACGACATTTTCCAGATCGTCCGTTCTAGCTCGGTAGTTTGTCAGCATGTGGCACTTGCGGTGAGCTTGAAGTCAGTGTTAAAATTAGGAGCTAAAAGGCTCTCTTAATTTTGCCCGTCGATTGGCTGACGACTTTACAGTTGGGCGTCTCACAATCAGATGTTGAGGATGCGGAGTACGCAAACAACTGTTTTCTCTGCAGGCCTAGCATGGCCGGGGCCAAGGCTGGCCGGTCAGCGATCGTTCCAAGCGTCCATTCCTCTACTGCTCATTGTTATGTGTACCCTGCATTCGCCTCAGAATACAGGTAAGTGTGTTCGCGCTGGAACTTTGGACATCCTTTTAATAATTTATAATTTAATCTATATTATTTGCACTCATCCATACTTTATTTTACTATTACATATTATAGCCAACCTTGGTAATTAATAATGTGCGATGATGTTCACTTGAATCATGTTCCATAAAGGACATCCATTTTTAAATTGGATCTGTTATAAGACCAAGCCAAAATGCATCGTAATCGTCAGGGCGGTTAAAAAGTAACATAATAATTTCATTTAATTATTTGCAAAAATACATAATTTTAGTGTACTTCAGTGTATAGTGTGAGTGTATCTGACAGATCGTCCCATTCGTAATCGGCTAAATCTCGACTTCAGCTGGAGATGGAAAGGGTAGCTACCGACTAAAAAAGCTGAGTGTGATCATACCCTAGGAACCACTGAGAGGCACGATTTAGTGGAAGCAACTGAGGGACGAAGCTGAAACCTCTACCTACCCAGCTTGGCTGCTATGGCCGGAGATCAATAAGTTTATCTTCTCCTTTTCTTAGCAGTGCAGGGTAGACTGCAGTAGCACGCCTCTTACGAATCTGCAAAGCCTATCTGCTCACATATTAGTCGCAAAGCCGACACTTTTTCCCATGCAAATGTGTTTCCTGCTACTATCTAAACCTGGATGTCATTTGCAATACAAGTTATTTATTTTCGTCACCTTCGTCATTAGTTTGCACGATCCGCGCATTGAAGCCACTGGATGTATGCACCAAGTTCATTGTTAACTAATCACACCTTAAGATGGAGCCACACTGATATTTTTAAAATTTAATGAAAGTCGCAAATAATATGCGGCCGAGTTGTAACTATCTTGTCTAGCACGTTTTTTTTTTATTATCAACGGGTGAGGATAACATACACATGCACCCGCGTCTTCTCAAAACACGTCTCCAACGAGGGCCCGCACAGCTTCAGTGGAGGAGAAAGAATAGGACACTACTCATGTGGCCTTAGACCACATCTTGCTCAAATAAAATGGTTAATAGCTGGTAGGTAATTACATTGATAGTTTCTGTACATCGAAATCGCTGCATTGTCACCTGTGTTGTATTCCATTATCTAAATAATAATAAAATATCCCGGATCCCTTACTTACGTGTGATTCTGTAACGACGTTTTTCCGGAAAAAAGAGTTTAGCAAGGCAAATTACGTCTATAAAACAATTTTGCAGTAACTAATTTTTTCAAATAAGTGCATTCGAATTCCACTATGATTTATCAGCACTTGCACCAAATCTGTTTTACAAATTATTCCTATTGTGCATCGTTCTCTTTTATTTAATTTGTTTTAGACTTCTGTCCTATTATAAGAGTTTTACCTTGTCCAAAATGTTGACCCAAATTCAGTTTTGCGTACTATAAACAGCTTCTTCTATCTATGCGTCTGATTTGGATATAACTTGCATCAGGAGACACAAAAGTTCATTCTGAGGGAGAACAAAAATAATAACGCAGAGATTAATGCAGAGGTTCCTGAGGTCTGTAACTACTGATTTCCTTTCTTAATTTGCCATTTGCTGATTGCGATACTAAGTGTTATATATAGCACTATCTTGTTGGGGCTAGAACTTTGTATCGCGTATTTTGTTTTTGAAGTGTCCATAGCTTTCATTAAATTACAACAATATAGACTTTTGATAAAATGAAATCCTATACAATATTGAAAGACTGTAAATTTATATAATTATAAATCGAAACTAATAAAATGAACAAAAACGACTGAAATTTAATGTTTAAGGAAAACAGCGATACGCATCAGAGAAACATAAAAGGTTTGAAAAGTGGCTAAAGAATAACGAACTACGCGTCTGATATTAAATTAAAATAAACCAAAGATAAAAGTAAGCGATGGTACCTGTATTTGTTATCTTTAATTACTTCTTAATGTTGAGATTCGGTTTTGGTTTTACTTTTGCTGTTTTTTTTACGTTGACCTCGGCGTTGAAAAACGGCGGAAATAGCTTCCTTGAGGAAAAGCAGAGCGAGTTTGTATATAATATTCGGCCATTCATTCACTTGACGGCGTATAATCTTTAGCCATTGACAAATGACAACTTAAGCAAAGTAAAATTGGTAACCACGAAACATAAAAATGTATCCATTAACCTCACATATAAAAACCAGATAATAAAAAGGTTTTGTTCATCATTTTCAATTAATATCAGCAGCAATGAAAGCACTATATGCAAGAATATCCTGCAAAATACTGTCTTTAGAATAATAATAGAAAAATTTTTTTTTTAAATAGAAAAATTAGAACTTCAGATATACAATAGTAAGTCTACCTGTCACTTACGAAGGTAAGCCTATGCTAACAAAGTCAATTTTGCATCCACTGCAAATTTTCAAAAATTATGCGGTGTCCTACAACTGTTAAACTTCTGCTCGACGTTACAATATAAACAAGGCTAATGATCGCCAATTTTTCGTCCCCAATTACTTTTTTTTTACAATGTCATGAATTTTTCAGATATATGTTAGTGAACCAATTAAAATACAAGGAACCAAGTAAAATACAACCCAAAAATGAAACTTGGATTTTCGCGTGGCTGGAATTGAATATTCATTGAAGTAGAGCCTTCAAATTAACTTCCAAATTAAAGTGTCAAATCAAACGAAATAGGCTAGATCACTATGTAATCTTCGGCAATGACCATTTGGCAGTGGAACATTCATAGGGGCGATTTAGGTTGCTTATGCTTAGGTCATGATCTAGTTATAAGTGCAAATAATAGTGTAGGTAAACGGTCTACGATATGTTACAAAACTGAAACTAATACATAGTACAAGTTCACTGCTTGACAAAAGATGGGCGACAAATATACGAATGGCGCTTGAACCTGTGTACCAAGATATTCTAATATATAGATCCCAATTGAAAAATTTTTAAGAATTTTCGAGTGATTTTTAAGCCTATATATATATGTGTTCTACAGTTCTCAGGCGTCATTTTTCGCGTGGGATAAATACAATACTCACACATATAGCTGCGTTATAAAGCAAACGAGTTTAGAAGTTCTTTGTAGCAAAATGTTTCTCATAAAAAGTTCAAATTGTTGTTACATTTTTCCTGCCAGTACTGAAAACCGGAAAGCTACGACGACTTAAAGGCACCACATGATATTACCATTTAAGCTTTGCATAAGGTTGTTTTTGGTTCTACCTCATAGTGATAGTGTAATATTTTTGGACTACGTATTTTTAAAAAATGTTCATTTCTAAGGTCCTGCACCAAATTTTTATAAGCGAAACTTTTTTGGTTATGGTCGTTAAATCGGTTGTTCTTTTCGCGTTAGATGAATCAGGCACATTACTCTTTCACAATGGAAAAAAGATCTAAAGCTTGCGTCTGGAACTCAGCTTGCTAATGTAATTTACCTTGGTTAAATTTGTTGGGCTATTGTTTAGCTATCACGTGAAATGTCAACATGTTGTTATATTTCGACGAAGTTTCCGCAGACCAACTTCGAAAATTCATAACCCCGTCACGGCTTGAATCTGGAAGCGGTTTAGGCATTTTTCGTTCTTGAAACGACGCTAGTTAATACGCATACACAAACCAACAATAACTACTCCAACGCGCCGAAGTTGCTCCTTTTTCTAAAAACACAGGGAAGAAGGTAAAGATGGACTTATAGTTTTATAAATGGTAGTTTTGCGGGGTGCCTTAAAATTAGGCTTACAATAGGAATTAAGGTATGGAAAAAGTAAACTTACATTTGCAACAGAGGCGGCACGCTTCCCAACTGTTTGTACCGTTATTTCTATGCTGATACCAAAAATAAAAATGTATGTATTATTTTGCAATAATAGCATATATATAATAATTATAGTCCTAATTGCTCAGGAGTTTCCTAATTGATAATAGTCCAGAGTTTGATGTTGTTGACAAGCTGATGCTAGGCTGGTTTATGTTATTTCGCTTCGTCGAACAGTTTTTATATTAACAAGTAACAACTGCAATATAGTCAATACGTTTAATAATTCAGGTATATTGCTTGAAACTTAAGCTCCGCATTATTTGATAAATGTTTCGCGTGTTACGATCTGGTACTTCTTTTAGGCACTGCTGGCCCAACCTAGCACAAAGTGAAATGTAAACACACATGGTTTCGAATTTTCGCGCCACTTACAAATCGAAGTTAAGCATTGTTATTTGTAAAGAGAGCTGGCTCAGATTGAGAAAAGGATATATAGCGCTCTTGCGTAGCTTTAATTTAGCAAGTTAAAAATTAAATGAAATAAACATAGGCGTAGCTCTGTGTAAGTACTACATGAAACGGGATGTGGGAACCGACAGAACCAATGTTTGATAGCAAAAATCAACTCAGTTTACATAGAAGTTTGTACGTCTTATGTATACATAAGTTTAAAGGTCATTGAAGGTGGATGCACGTGGACGATACAAAGGAGGTGCACAAACACGGCTTTGTTGGAAGCCTAACGGAAAGGGAAAGATGTTTTCTAGGGAAGGAAAATACTACCAATGCCAGCTGGAAGGACGCATATTTTGGATGAGACCAAATGCGCGTGCCTCATAACCCCTATAATAATGGTTTAACCGTTTTACGAACCAAGAGCTGTAGGACTCTTCTGGCTGAAAATAGCGCACACGAACACCGTAAAACTGTTGCCCGTATTTAATATCATGTAGCCTAGCTATTGCACATTTCTCTAGTTTTAAAATTACTTTTAAGAACTATACATCTATTAAAACAAGAAAGTCTCAAACCGCATACCATCAAACCAAGTCAACAAGCCTTGCAGATAAGTATTATATAAGGGGCTCTGCACCACTTACCAGTCATTTACCTCACTCTCATTTTATATATCTTTGTACACGAACCTGTTTGCCCTTAATTGATGATAGCAAATAATTCAGTTGTAAACCTTCTTTTTTAATTAGTTGCAAGCTTATTTTCTTTATATGTATAAGACTACCTCCCCTTGTATTACCATAATGTGACAA